TCATATCCAGGTAAATTATGATATTATTTCATAAGCAATTCTCAAGTGTGAGTCAAATATAAATTCATGAGGTGATGTAGTATGAGAATAACAATTTGGCTTTCTAAAATTTGACAATCCATTTGTTAGCATGCATCATCAAAACTATATAAAAGTTTTAGAGAAAACATTTATCAAGCATCAGCAAGAATTGTGTCAGGAAGAGTTCAAGATGAACAAGACCCACCATTTCCCTCCAATAGTTTATAATCCAGTAGAGAATCAAGTAAACATAAAAGGTTTCAGTTCTGAGGGATGAAGACTAGGCTAGAAGTAAATGCCAAAAGGTTACAAAGGGTTGGGACAGCATACTGCAGAGGCTCTTTAGCCAAGCATGACTAACCCACTGTGGCCAGCCCAGCATGGATGACCCCATGTTGCTAGTGGGGTGGAGAGAAAGGAAGCAGCTTAAGATGGTTGCTCAGAGGGAATGAGCCCTAAATAAATCTGTAAGGATGACAGGTTATCCTGGGGGTAGAGGGAGGCAGGGAATCCATGTAGAAAATACAAATGAATGGAAACCCCAGAAAATCTGGAAGATTCAGATAACTGACAGAAACAAGAAATAAGACTGAGGAAACCATTAATACTTAATCTTTTGTGCTAGTTTACATACATGATCCTCTCTTTAGAAGGCAAGAAAGGGTTATAGAGGATAAGACCTAGTGAAATGATGTGACCAGGATACATTTTGGAAAAAGAAGCAACTCAAATCAGTACAAGGCAATCAAGAGTTAAAATAAAGACCCACAGCCAGGTGTAGTGGCAATATGCCTTTATTCCCAGCAGTCAGGAGGCAGAGGTACGTGGATCTCTGTGAGTTCAAGGCCAGCCTGTTCTACAATGCAAGTTCCAGACCAGCTGGGGCTATAGGGAGACCCTGTCTCAAAAAGAACAAAATAAAATCAAATAAAAATAAAGACGCACATTAGGGAGCCACATGTAGCACAGAGAACAGCTTTGAGAGAGAGAGAGCAACAATCAGGAACGGACAGACTGTTGGGGCAGAGCTGGTAAAGAGCAGAGCTATCATTTTCCGGACCTCACCGGCTAAGGACCTGATGATGAAGGCATTCACAGAGGTGGGCAATATTGAATTAAGGGTGAAAAGGAGGAAGATTAGAGGGGAGGAAAGCTGACAAGTTCAATTTTAATCTGCTGAGTTTATGGACTCATGAATCTCCAGGAGGGATGTCCAGAAAGGTGCTGTCTAGGGCAAGAAAGGAGTACTCATCGAATCGAAGACTGCCTGTCTCAAGTATTTGTGAGTGAGCGTGTAATATGTATGTATGTGTGTGTGTGTAGTATACATATATGTGTATAATGTATGTGTAAGCACATTTGTGTGTACACATATGTATGTACTTGTGCAGACATAGCACGTTTATAGAATCCATAGTCACTGCAGGTGGATGTTGTATTCTATTGATTTCCATCCTATTTTTTAAGACAAAATCTCTCACTGAACCTGGATTTCCCTAATTAGCTAGACTGACTGCCAGTAAGCTTGAAGGATCATATTGTCTCTGCCTCCTCAGCACTAGCATTACAAACACATGCCACCATGCCCAGCTTTTTCCCTGGGTGCTGGAGATCTTGACTCAGGTCCTCACGTTTGTGTAATAGGCACTTTACTGACTGAATCATCTCTCCAGTCCCTCAAGTATTTATAAAAGATGCTAACCTTAATGACTGTTTAAGTAAGGCATGTACAAGTACTTCATGCAACATGTTTTCATCATCCTCCACATTCTAGAGATGAGCAATAGTTTAAGTAATGTCCCAACGTTTATAACATACTTGACAGCAATCTGACTTTACAGCTCAAGGCTTTAACTACCATACTATGTTGTGTAATGCAAAATCCGTTACAGATTTTAGGGCAGGATAAAATCTAATATCTGGTACTTAACAGCTATTTGATCTTAACACTGTAAATGCATAGTTTCTTCACCTGTAAAATGGTAGCCTGGCAGTGCACGTCTTTAATCCCAGCACTTGGGAGGCAGAGGCAGGCAGATCTCTGTGTGTTCAAGGCCAGCCTGGTCTACATAGTGAGTTCCAGGACAGCTGGGGCTACAGGGAGACCCTGTCTCAAAAAAACCAAAAAAAAAAAAAAAAAGGTAGCCTGTAGAATTACACCACAAGGATACTCTGAAGATGAGGCAGATATATGGAAAGTGCTGGATGGAGATTCAAGAGTCATAAATTTCACTTACTGTTGTATCCATGCCCAGAGAAAGAATTGCAATTGAAGTAAAATACAATCTAAAAAATTTCCCTTTCATCTTATGAACTTTAATTCTACCCCATTTATCCTATATATTAATAACACTATATCACCTGTCAAAAAGTTTTAAGACAAATTTCACAAAATTTAAAGTTATTTAAGAATATAATTTAAATACATATCACTTCAATATAAAGGGATATTAGGTTTTGTTTTTTGTTTTATTCTGTTTTTTGCCTTATTTGTAAAACTGAATGACATAATAAGTGCTCTCCCAATGGTCAGGTAACGAGGCAAAGAGCCATGACTTGGTCAGACAAGATGAGGTTAAGGAGAGGACTGATGTTAATGGAGTCAAACACCAGTAAGAAGTCCCTACTCTGCTGCTTACCAGCCAAACCAACATGAGCAATTTATCAACAGTTCCATCTGCACACTTCTAGATAAATAGACTGGTCTTTGTGTAGGAAATTTAAACTCTACAAACTAGGTCATGACTAGAGGCTGGGAAGGCAACTCTAGGTTTTTGGTTCTTAAATCTGGCTACACAGTGCCTCATTGGGAACTTTAGAAGAACATGTTTATAAAAATCAACCCTGAAATATCAAGAGAAACCAGTTCTGGGCAATATTTTGTGAAAGGTTATCTGAAACCCTGAGTAATACCTCAGTCTCGTGTTAAATGTAAAAATGTATTTTCTTTAACTTCTACTGCATTGAAACCAATAGTCTCTTACAAGTATACATTCCTGAGATATGTACTGATGAATCAGCCTTTGGCTTCTCTGGGCCTTGACCTGTTTTAGTATTAAGGTCTATGTCCACAGAAACCCCTCAATCACTTAAAAACATGAACAGTTAGTCAACTAACACACACACGCACATACACACACACACACACGCACAACTTTTAAATGACTGACAGTATATTAGAATAAAGTTCACAGCACAGTCCTAAGGTGGTACCATTGTTACTGCTGACCTCCAGACACACAGTCACACTCACAGGAACTGAACCCCGCAAGAGCCATAAGCATGCAAAGGCCTGGAGAACAGAGAAAGTCAATGTGATGACTAGAATCCACATACCAGAGTCTAAGTTCTGCATATTTAAATTCAATAACCAGTATTTGGGGAAATTGGTTTAAAGTTCCTGGTTGCCCATTTTCAGTTTTGTCTACTGAAATGGGCCATTTTCAAGAAATGCAGACTCTTTGATCTCATAGTCTTATTTATAGCACTGTAACTGTTACATGTGTGCTGTGATGAGACTAAATGAAGCAGCAGTAAACACAAACTAGACTAAGATAATCCCTGTAAATGAAGTTGAAGTATGAATACCATTCCACCTTGCATCCCTGTCAGCATGGAAGAAGCCAGAGCAGTCTGCGTCCCGATTCCCTATTGGCAATTTGGGTGACTTCTTCAGAGGATGTTGTGATAAGAACAGGAGGTAGGAATTGGCTGGACAGTTATGGTAAAAAGACCCCAAAGAAATGTAACTGGTTTATTGGCTAAAAGTCAAAATGTCTTTGGGCCTCTTAGCAACATACTCTGTTCCAAAGGCCAAAAATGTCAAAGGTATTTGGGAGCTTTTATCTAATGGCAAAAAGATTTTAGGATTATTTATTCAGAGGGGGGAATGCTAGAGTAGCAAGAAGCCCCATAAAGAGAGAGAGAGAGAGAGAGAGAGAGAGAGAGAGAGAGAGAGAGAGAGAGAGAGAGAGAGAGGTGTGAGGAGGGAGATTACCAGCACCATCAAAACCCAAAACTCCAAACCAAACCCCAAACCCCAAACCAACCATGTTTGAAATTCTCAAATTTTTTTAAGTTAAAAAAAAGTATCTGATAGAAAACAAATTAAGTCAGTTTAGAATGGCACCTCTTCACCAAAATGCTCATTGCTTTGTATTTTAAAATGAAATTCACCATATAGACCTTTCCTAGAGCCACATTCGTGTGCACATGTATCTTGTCCTCAGTTGCCTGATGGAAACCTTAGACTTTAAGGTCAATCTTGCCCATGCAAGCTAAGGGAGTAGTCCTGTTTATGAACTACATTCTTGGTAATACATATGCTCTCTTTGCTGTGATGTCACTATATATCTGTCCACAAAACATCTTGGGTGACAGTCTATGCCCCTAGTAGCACACAAGAAAGTACTAGTGTCAATTGAGACACTACTAATGAGGTAGGAAGGAGGCCAGATCCAGCCACTCCCTTCAGAAGTCAGAATCCTAAAAGGATTATAACCAAGCTGCTACATTCTTAGTCCTGTGATAAATCTAGTAAAGTAAGGAAAGTCCAGGAGAACTGTGGTTTTCAACCATGAGATGAGCAACCAGCATTTTAATAATACCCTCCCTCAATTATAATTCCAATAGCCAACAATACACAAACCATCTAGCATTTTTGGAACAAAACATAACAAAGGAAGTGCATAAAATTGTTCAGACCATCTGAACACACAGCATGATTTCAACACCCTAGTCTTTCAACCGCTGGCTTTCCAAGTGAAGCATCAAGGGAGACATCAAGATGTGACATCATCATGAAGCAGGAACAGCACACACCGCCAAAGGCAGATTTTATAGCCTTGTAAGAGAATTCAAAAATCAGCAAAATATATTTAACCCCAAACTTTACTGAAAACAATATATTCCTTTTTGTATGCTTTGAGTAATCTTACCACAACGTTTTAAAGAGGAACTGAGATTAAAGGAAGACTTACTGATTGCTCATTTAGGTCCTGGGTGTCTTCCATGTGTTTCTCTCACTCTTCTTGCTACTCCCTCGTAGAAGCAGCTCCCTTCAACTAAAAATGGACTGTCTAAAACAAAAGGTGGAAACAAAAAAAAGGGAATGTTATCATTTTTAGGCATTCGTAGAATCACTGAAGCATATAAAGATTTAGCAATATAGCTGATGGGTAATACATAGGAGAACTTTGTGAAGAAACAAATCAGATTTGTTAATGCTGATTCCACATCTTACATATTAACAATCTTGTAATAATATCATGGTGAAGTTGGTGTATGTAAGCAGCTACTCAGGAATATCACAGAAAAGGAAAAGTATCTCGACAGCTTCAGAGACACAGGCTGTAATAAGCAATCAGTATGTTATTTTACTTAGAGATTTCTGTCTTTAAGTAATTGATAAGATTGAACATTGAAAACAATATTAATCACTGCATAATACCAACTGAGAAAATGCAGTGTGCATTTCAGTCTGGCAGCCTTTATAACACGAAAATATGTCCAGATTTTCAGATGATCATTTTCTCTTCTAAAGAGAAAGAGGGTAAAGTTCAGCGGTACATGCGCAAGTCCATAGGTTTGATCCTGAGAACCATAAAACAGTAATGCTATCAAAATGCACAAGCAATTTTTTAAGAGAATGAATATAAGCATTTAAGACAAAGAAATATGGGAAGAAGAAGCAGTCAACAGCCTACAGCAGGAATCAGATAATTACTCAAAAATAGAGTTAATCATTACTCCACACTATGCATTTCATTTTTTCTAGCCAAACAGGCATATGATTTTGGATTCCAAATACAGAAAGATTCTCTAATAGTAGCAAGAGAAGATAGCGCAAAAAGTCGGCGTGGTGGCACACGCCTTTAATCCCAGCACTCAGGAGGCAGGGGAAGACGGATCTCTGTGAGTTCAAGGCCAGCCTGGTCTACATAGTGAGTTCCAGGACAGCTGGGGCTACAGGGAGACCCTGTCTCAAAAAAACCAAAAAAAAAAAAAAAAAGTCAATTGTTCACCTGAGTCCTCATCTTTCTGTTTTTCAGTGAGTTAGCAAGGTTAAATGATGCTAAAACAGTTTTATAAGATCAGCTAAAACTATATATAGCACATAGTAAAAAATGAATTTTATAAACTGACTCTCCAAGTAGCCTCCTTAGCTTACTATAACTTTAAATTCCAGTGGCAGATTCATCTTTGTAAGGAAGACAAGGTTTATCTTCTGTGTGAGTTATCTACAGCATCTAGCTCAGTGTCTGACATACATGAAGTGTTTCATAAATGTTGACTGACACAGAAAATAACACAGTGACAAAAGCAACACTTCAGAATTCATCTGACACCTTTTTGGGAAATTTGGTCTCCTATATATGGCTCTATTAGGAAAAAGCTGTTCATCCCCAGTTTTCTGAACCATGACTGGTTCTATCTTACTGTGCATTAGGATAATGAGAAAATAAATATTTAAACAAACATTATTTATTAAGTGGAATATTGTAACTTTTCTCAAAATTCAGTATTGAAAATTATACAATGCTTTCCTACTCATTTGATGTATTCATAAATATAGTTTTAATAAAATTATCATTCATGCCAGTTAAATCTATTGACTTGCAACATAGCATGTTGTATTAGATTCCAAGGACTGTGGCAGCAGTGTTAAATCAAGACACTGGTAGACCTGTGTTCCCTCTGGAGGCTGTTGGAAAGAATTCATTCTCTTTCTCTCTCTCTCTCTATCTCTCTCTCTCTCTCTCTATCTCTCTCTCTATCTCTCTATCTCTCTCTGTCTCTGTGTGTGTGTTGTGTGTCCATATTTTCTTCTCCTTCAAGTAAGTATAGGGGTCATTGGATCAAGGACAGTTCTAAACAGTAAGACCTCATCTTAACTTGATTCAACCTACAAAGATTCTAAATCTAAATAAGGTCACATTCATAGGTACAGGGCTCAGGGTTTAAGCACATCTTTTAGGAGATGGAGTTCATCCATAATACATATTCAAATATCATAGCAAAATTAATTTTTTAATATTTTATTTATTTTTTACTTTCTGTGTATGAATGTATGTATGTAAGTGCACCCACATCACGCAATACACAAGGAGGTCAGAAGAGGGCATCAGATTCCATAGAACTGGAGTTACAGATGGTTGTTAGCTGCCCATGTGGGTGCTGGAAACTGAACCCAGGTCCTAGGCAAGAGTAGTCGGTGCTCTTACCCTCTGAGCCAACTTTCCATCCCTCTCACAGTGAAATTATTCTTAAGATGTGATTGCAAGGTTTAAAGATTATTTATCCAGAAGGCTACACAGATTAAACTAAGGATGCTGATTATCAGGAAATACTAAATCATCTTGCAGTGGAACACCATCTCAGGAGCTGTGACTAAGTTGAACAAAAGTAAAGACTTCAGGAAAGATAATGAAGCATAAGAGAATTAAACAATACTTGCTTTTTTGTTAACTGCCGATTCAGAATCTAGTTAATTTTCCATTCAGGGAGTGATTTGTGTCAATGTTCCATGTTACAGCAAAACACTTTGCTTTATATTTCCTTAAAACTTAGATTAATTGTTACTTAGCTTGAGTTTAATGGTAACATGATTTTTGTTCTTTGCCAAACTCACTCAGGTCCTAAAATATTATGAGTCCAGTGATTTTTACATTATTGAACCAAGTTAAACTCCCTTGGCTAATTGCAGACATGGTATTATTTTACATCATAATTTACCAATGGTTGTCATATTAAATCCTTTAACATTTAGTTTTTACAAATATGCGAGAAAAGGATAAGAACGTGCTTCAAATCAAGTAAGAAAAGAAGTACTTTATAATACAGATACAAAATTACGGACCAACAGTAACCTCATGCTGTTTTATGAGGCAAAAATCTAGTTGAGGCAAAAATCTAGTTGCCAGCTCGATCACAAGGCCTTTTCCCCCTCAAAAGGTGAGCTTTAAACAGCAGCAACAGCAACAACATCCATCATGTATGGAATTACTTCTCCTGCAGTTAAGTTTTCAATATATAGACAACTCATCACATTCTTTCCCTTAACTCATAAAGAAGTAAGCTATGTATACTATAAGCAGTATATATATATAT